TGGGACACCATCACAACATGACCGCGCCACCATCACATGATCGGGACACCATCAAAACAGGACCGGGACACCGTCACAACACGACCGGGACACCATCAAAACATGACCGGGACACCATCACAACATGACCGGGACACCTTCAAAACATGACCAGAACACCATCACAACAGGACCGGGACACCATCACAACATGACCGGGACACCATCACAACATGACCGGGACACCTTCAAAACATGACCGGGACACCATCACAACATGACCGGGACACCATCAAAACAGGACCGGGACACCATCAAAACATGACCGGGACACCAGCATCACATGACCCGGACGCCGTCAAAACATGACCGGGACACCATCCGCCCACCAGCTCTGACGGTGACCCGACGGCGCCCGTCCGCCCATTAGTTTTGCAAGACCCCGTAGCATGGCTATTGGGGAAGAAGAAAACTACCAAGAACAGAACAAAGGTTGGATTGGATCCATCCAGCAGAATTCCAGGATGACTCGATGTTACTTGGCAAATACCAATTCTTCAGGATAAAATTCCATAACAAATCTCAAGCCCAACCATCAGTATTCTTGTCAGCTAGCCCCACGCGTTCACGGTTTCACCAGGTGGGAACCCTCCAAGACACCAACCATGTGACATCAGAGATCCCGCACCGGTTGGGACAGCCTGTAGTTTGCCAGGCGGCCCAAGGCCAGAGCAGCTGACTGTTGGATGGAAGCCACGTTGTCCAGCAAGAGGGGCCTCGCGCCACCAAGTCATGGAGAGTTTGGCCATGACCCACACCCAAACGACCATCCGGCGGGCAAGTTGGGAAAACTGTGTGGGATGGAGAAAGAATACTCAACACATATCACCTGGCAATTATGAGGTCATACCTGCCATCCGGTTTGCACATTCATTGCCAAACATGGAATCAATGATTACATGCGTGCTAGGGGCAATCTCTTGAGGAAGACAGTCACCCACTAGCCACCCGTGCCTCCCATGGATCTGTGGAAATCCTACATGTGGCACAGTAATGACACCACTCTTGGTCCAACCAACTTCAACCTAAGAATAGTAATCAAGATCAGTTGACCTGAAATCAACGAAACATGTTCCTGCTTTTGCTCTTTGTCAGGACAGTTGACTGTCAAGTGAGTTGTCCATGTTGCCACTTCCCAAGTAGCTGCTCAGCGAGGGGCATGAATGACCGCTACTTGCGCTTCAGACGCATCGATTCACTTGAACGCCAAGGCCCGATCTTCAAAAACGGATGAAAGTAAACCAAGTATGTGTGTTCTACAAGGGACATTAATTGATTACGCGAATTTAAGCACTAGTCACTAGTCACTATGCGCTTAAGAAACCAAAAGTATCTGGAAAAAGGCTCAAGGGACGCCTCTGATAGGCCGCCCTGCAAGTAGATGCTCGTCTTCTTTTTGGTTATTTATTGTTTGTGAAATTGTTGTTGGTATTTACAATAGACTTGTTTTTGAAGTGTTTTTGCTGGCACATCAAATTTCCCACGTTGTTTGAAGGAAGATGCTTGCGTTGAGCATTTTGCTACAGCGAAACGCATCATTTTCGCTACGAAAAAAATCGGAAAAGTGTTGTTGAAGGTCTGATGATAAGTTATCTGCAGTCATCCAATGATTCAGCCAAGAGATCTTTCGTGATGATTGCGCTTTATTCGCAACACTTTGCACCTCAACATGCAAGTTTCTTTCACTTAAAATAACCTGCGGAAAAGAGGACTTGAAGGTCATTGCCTGAATTGTTGCATAGGAGCAGTTCTTATTGAAAGAAGTACGTTGTAACACAAAGGAAAACACAGTAAGGTACGTACAACTGCACCCTTACATCGCTACAAGCACGTCAAAACCCACCCACCTCCCCACCCCACCCCACTCAACAACCAAACCACGACGTACTCGAAAGGCGCAAGGGCAGCGTATCAGCCTCGAACAAAAAACAATCCCGAAACAAGTACGTGAAAAGTGTGGGTGTGTATATATATAAGTATATAGTGTTCGCATTGCACGTATCTTTCTTTAATGGATGCTGCTTTCAATCAATGGTGAGCGTTGCGGGGTCCTATGCCTTTCCATGTAACTGTCTAGGTGTCACTTGCTTGTGAGCCCTTACGCCGGCAACCGTACCCAATGACCCAGCGCCTCAACAAAGCCATGACACCTGCAAGAAAGGAACGCAATCCCCCACGCTCTCTTGACTGGTCTTGGGGAACGAGTAAGGAACATGAGCATGGGACGTGTCCCGTTCCAGACGTTGGGTCAGTCGCATGAGCAGCTGAAATGGTGCGTGCAACGGACAAGTCAATCTGTTCCCGCCAAGGGCCTATACTGCATTGCTTTTAACTCTTGAGAGACAACTAGCACAGCTTCCAGCAGTAGAGTTGATGTATGGCCAAGTCCAACAAACATCGGAACAGCTCCAAAAGTTCAAGATGCCAAGGAGGCATCAACGAACAGCTCTTGATGTCCGGCAGAATGGAGTATTTCTGTTTGTCAACTCTACATGTCTTTGAGGACCGTCTATGGTGCGTGGCCTCCTACAGGGTTCTCTGTCGAACATGAATGGCCCAGAAATTGAACTTAAGCGGTATATAATGTACAAACTGGTGAGTTATGGTCCACACCAAAATGATCTCTCCTAGGTGCCATGTGTCCATTAGCGCCTGCATTCTGCAAGGCATCAATGTTCTGGGGCCGGGTGGCCTAAGAGAGCAGAACGACCCCGAACGATTTTGTGCAAACGGCGGACAACTAAGTGTAAACTGTTGCTGGAACTCCCTTATAAATTTTACGCGTCGAGCGTCGACATATTTATGAGGGGCTTACTTGGCATCTGGACAGTCAATCTTGCACGCACACACACACACACTGGGGATATATAGCTCAAGTGAGTGAGAGTAAATTTCAGTATTGATTCGCCGCTGCACTAGCCCTTGACTACAGCAATTAGACCTTGACTTGCAGAACGGCATGGCGAAAATAAGTCAGCAAACCAGACTTCTTTGAACATCGGCGCACTAGCTTTTTAGGAAAGAGTGGACGTCTCCAGTGATATCCTCAGGACACTGCAGAGAGCTTTGTTAAGTGGAGCTTTGCAGGCCTGCTCCACCCCCCTGCTGAACGAGTGACTCTTAGATAGAGAGTGTGACACACAAACACCCGCTTTGCGGCGCACGGAGGTAATGCAGAGATCTGCACACTTGACTAAAAACCTGATTACCGACCCAAAAAGGCTCTAGAAGAGAGAGAAAATTAAAAGCCTAGAAAAAGGAACAAAAGTGGGGAGGGGGGGGTGGATCGACAAAATGAGCCTAAACGACAACCTAACAAGCCTGAGAAAAAGACCAAAGAAACGAAAGAAGGCAAGGAGAAAAAGAAAGAGTGCGGGGGTGTGTGAGGGGTGGGGCGAAAGGCTCATGCCCACAAAGCCGAAATCGGCGCACACTTGACTAAAACTTAACCTGTAACCTAACAAGCCTCAAGCAACGAAAGAAAGACCTAGAAGGAGAAAGACCTAGGGAAGAGAGAAAGCAAGACAGTGCATGAATTATTCAGTTGGATGAAAAAACACATGTGAATACTTAGCCGCACGTCGTGCAAAAAAACACCTGAAACTCAGTTAATGAATCTCCGTGGACTCGGCAGTATCTTTCAGCGCGTTCAGGCAAACACGTTTGAATCTGAGACTGGCTCACGATGCAGAAACTGGTTGCGGAGGGTTGCAGCTTCGATTTCGGCGCCCCGTAGGGATCACACGGCACACCCAAGAGGGAAGATGCTGCTGGTCACACTTAGATATATAGCTCAAATGAGTGAGCGCAAATGTCAGTATTAATGCGCCGCTGCACTAGCCCTTGACTTTACAGCAAGTAGACCTTGACTTGCAGAACGGCATGGCCAAAAGTCAGCGAACCAGAATTGTTTGAACATCGGCGCACTAGCTCATTAGGAAAGAGTGGGGTAACAGCTTGTCAACACCACAAAGCAGGTAGGTCACTGGACGTGTCCAGTGATATCCTCAGGACACTGCAGAGAGCATGTTACGTGGAGCTCTGCAGGCCTGCTCCACTCCCCTGCTGAACGAGCGATTGACACACTTATAGAAATGCGTACTGACTCCAATGCCACTCGCCACACGGCAACCTAAGAAACCAGAATCCCGAAAAACCAGGCAAGGGGGCCTGAGCACCTTTAGTTAAAGGCCAGAAGTCAAACTCCACGACCGACAGGTTGACGTGCGCTCATGTCTGCCAAGCTCATGAGCACTTTACAGGAAATTGGGGTCACAGCTTGTTCAAAAGTTCCAACAGTCGCAGGTACGTCACGGTGATCAGTCCTGATATCCGCATGTACTGTGGCCGCTTCGTTGGACCATCGCTCACAGCACATGGATGGTCCCCCTGCTAAAGAAAAATCAAGCGGTAAAACAATCCGAAAGGAACCTCGTGACTCCAGAGGGTACGCACCACAATTACACTATGCGAACCCACCAAAAAACTCTTCAACCCCGTAGCACATTTTCGTCTATGCCATCAGAAGCTTGGTACATTATCTTAACAGCGCCTACACACTGTCTTCCTCTAAGCTTGCGAATGGCATTCTGACGTCTCTCCTGAAACAGCGCCGCAAAATCCGGAAGGGTTGGTTTGGCAACTTCCCATCTTGAGTCACCCGATCAAACCGCTCAATTCTGCAAAATTGTCACGCACTTTTGTGAACATTCACAAAAAACAACAACACAATTTATATGAAATTGAACATTTGTACAGAAATTCTGTAAAATATTGCTTTGCAACCTCTGATTCATCAGCACACCGCTCAGCCAAGCAGTCTCTTTTCAGGAACCGGGCCAAATCTGCCACGGTCTGCACAAAGGTCACACGTGCCTGGGCCACCATATGGACCCGTCCTCGTCCATAGATCCACATGGATCTACGGCATGTGCACCAAACCGATCTGAGATGCAAAAGCGGATGGTGAAAACCAGTTCCAAGCGAGTCGTTACCTTCGATGGGGGTTTGCCAGGAAGTCAGGGGATTGATGGATCAAGCGCAAAGCGCTCGCCGCTTTCACCGGCACACAAGCACCAAGTGTGCTTCAATGGGTCACCGTTTAGTTTCAGAACAAATCCCATTCCATCTTGGTTGAATAAAATCTGGGAACTGCAAATGAGTAGGTTCACCTTGAAAGGACCCTTATGTTTAGGTCCGTGGTATCAGAAGTCTCAGTAAATAATATCGGATGAAAATATACCGGTAATGCAGCATTCAAAGCCCCGACTTCAAATCAACCAGGTTGCCTGTTGTGCACCAAAGTGTTTGTGGTAACGTTCATCCCAAAAAGTTGCCCCAACAGGCATTGCCTTGCGGGTCGAACGTGCATAGCCTAGCCTAGCAGTCCCGGCATTGCAATGTAAAGTAATTATTACTACCAACCGTTACTGACCTCCGCAGTCTGTGACTAACAACTGGACCAAAGCACTCCAAAAAAACGATAAAAATCCGTAATCCACGTTCACCACACACACACACACACCCGAGCGCCTTTTGATACTCTTCAAAGACCTGCAGCACGGCCCGACCTCATTGCTGCACAGGACGGATCACATGCTTCACAACAAACGCTAGAATCGAAAGCAAGATCCTGAAATTCGCAGAATCTATGTGTGCGATGTTGAGCCGAGCATCCCAAAGACAGCTGATATATTGCCAGATCTGGGTATATGAACAAAGCGAGCACATGGGTGGCTTAACTCATTGAATGATCCCGAGATCCCTCTATATATATATATATACAGTATATAGGGATCAATCGATCAACCAATTTTCCGGAGGAACCCAAGGCTACAGTGCTGTGATGATCCTGTCACGATGCCAGCAGGCACTGTGCTCGTTGGGGACCGCGATCGGCCACTCATTCAGCATCTAAGGGCGCTGCTCATCTTCGGTCTGAATCCTCTGCTCAGGAAAGTGTGGCACTGCGAAAATGCCTACTGAAGGACATCACGATCAGAGCCACAAATGCGGCACGCAGCATACATTTACATGGCTTCAGGGACGTTATGTATATGATGATTCATGAACCCCAAACAAGGAGCCTGCTACTGATGATGGAAGAAATCTGGAAAAGCAATTAACATTGAGGGATGGAGGGTTCCCACCATTTCAAGGGTTTGCACTCTCCCAGGTGGCGGAGAAACTCTCCATCCTGTGAGGTGGCCTACACCATCTTCCACCCTCTGGAACTGAGAGTGCCACTGGAAGTGCCTTTTTCACAGACCAAAGAAGTGCCGAGAGAAATGAACGCTAACATCATATAATCAATTCCTAGCTGTAGCGACATGCAGCTCCACACATCGAATCTAAGAGGTGCCTTCTTATCGGGCAATCTAAGGCCTGATTGGGTCCTCCAACTGACATGTCAAGAGACGGGCGTCCAATGTACCCCAAACATTAAGACTATATCCTTGACCCTGACAAAAGATTTCTCCAACCCACAAATCTCCACATTGCTAGTTCTACAACAACCTTCGGATGCGGTGGCCAAAACTCCACTCAGGCCACCTGCACTAACACCCAGAAGAGAAAATGAAAATTGGGCGGTGGCCTTGTTCATTTTCTCACACAGAATGCTTGAGGATTTTCTGAACTAGATCCAACCGCTGCTTTTTTGAACAAGCTGCCTCCGGCGTCTTTGCGCCACGGCCCCGCACATGTGGTCGGGCCATCAGGCTGGGCTTAAGGTTTCCAGAGTAGTTTCTCCACATGACGGAGATTCCGGTTGATCTTGGGTCAACAAAGGGAGGACTGTGCTGCGATGTTTGGACGTGTGCCATTGGCTCCAAATGTCTAAGTCAAGCCAGCGAGCCACTCAGTGTCCCAAGGGCTCAAACCTGCTGCTCGCACTTGGATGGCACACGATGGCTGCATAAACAGAACAAGCTGGGAGACTATGGACTAAGACGCGCATGCCTGGTTCCGTGTTTGTCTCCGAGTGCATACACAGAGTGAAAAGAAAAAAGGTCAGGTATCTTGTGGCCCAATTAGGTCTCACCCTGCAACCATTGGTGGTGTGGACATCCAAAATGCTCAAACTCCATGACATTGGGCGGGTCCTTGGTGGATCAGGCATGTTCTCCGTGCTCCTTTGCTTTTAATATCACCATCTGGTCCTGCTCACACTTTCGTGTCCCTTGGAGCCTGTTAGATCTTCACGACTTTGCATCTGTTCTCTGGCAGTTTTGGATTCTGCAAAGCACATCACTCACAGCACTGAAGGCAGCTGGCTGTGGATCTAAACTGAATACTTAAGACCAAGTAGATGATCATCCAGGGCATTGACTGACAGCGCTTTATACCTTTTTGGATGCCTGGACTAGCCGGCAAACTCTGTGCAGTACGGGGTGCAGTGGCTTTTGAATGCATGCAACCGTTTTCAGTGTTCTGAACCACCTCCCAAAAGTACCTCAGACTAAAAGCGTGATAAGGCATGAACATTGGAACAGAAAAGGGGAGTGGGTACAGCGTACCAAGGTTGGAGGCCATCACTCTTAGGGGGAGGCCGTCACTCTAACTGTCTCCTTCTTTCTGTTTTTTGGATTGCTTTCAATGCCAGCTGCCCAAGCCCCTCCTGGATCGTTTCCAGCTCCTGCGACATAGGGCTAGTGGGGATTGTGCTTTGGCAAGCGGGGGACCATGGTTAGTCTATAGCCTCCACACAAATAATCAAGAGATCTCGCCTGCCCGAAAACCCAATCAAAAGTGCGGCATCGCTACTAGGAGCAAAAAGCTACTAGGGGCTCCCGGCATCGCTACTAGGAGCGATCGGACGCTACTAGAAGCTTGAGGAGTCATGGAGTCATGGCCCATCTTTTGTGCAATTTCACGTTACTCGGGATTCGAGCCATCTTCATCGGCAAAATTCCCTTGGTCAACTGAGAATGCTTGGATCCCCCAGACAGGCATAACACCTACAGTATTCGTTGGGAAGTGGCTCGAGAGTTGTCCAAGAATAGTGTTTTTTCTGAAGTTGTCTTCAATTGCGCAGACTTCTCTGGCTGTTCTTACCTTTGGAGGCACTGACAACAGCGTCTACCTCCAAAATGTTAAACATCCAAGAATCCATGTCCCGGCCGTCCATTCGCATATAGTAGTGTAGTGTGTATATGTATATATATATAT